ATTTTATAATCATATCATCCATTTACATAATTTTGTATTGTTATATAATTATAATACAAGTGCAAGTTGTCATAAAATGATCCTTGATAAGACTATGATTCAACTTGTGGGAACGATGCAGTGGATATCATATGTCCCATAAAAAGAGAATGAAGGTTTATTGACTGTTACAAAAATCTAAATTCACTTCTTATTACTTTTATTATACATGGAACAGTAGCTGGCACATAAGTACTGTGTAAGTATTTGCTACTATGCTAGCATTAAAATTCAACTAGGTATCGATAACAGTGCATGCAAAGGTAAAATTCTACCTACTTTACAGTTTCCAGAATCAGAGACCATCTGTACTTAAATTGTTAAAAGGGAGTATTGCAATGGTCCTCACTGAAAACATAGGAATACAGGGTATAGTCAGTTTCACATTACTGAAAGTGGACTACCCAGTGTTTAAGAGATCCTTAAAAAGACGGAGGATAGCTCATCACATATCAGGTCAACAAGAAATAAAAAAGTAGGTTCATAACCGAATTTCACCTTATTACCTCAAAAATGTCAACTGGATGGGTAAAGGGCCTCCTAAAAAGTGGCAGCTAGACTAGAGGAAAAGTCTGCTATAGCTTCTTGGTGTACTTTCCTTTACCATAAACTCACTAATGATAGAAAATACCAATCATTTAAACAAAAACCACATAGTGTATCACAAGGTGCAAAACAAATGCCTTTGGTTTACCAGTTATTATAAATTACGTATGCTAATAGAAAGAGAAACAAAGTATATACTGCAATATGCAAGTAAGTTTTAAATTTGCAAATAAAAAACTTAAATATAAGTAGAGCAACTGAAATGTAAGTAATAAATGTGGTGGGTTGGCCATTTCATTTTAGTGTAGGTTTTGTGATGTTTATCTAATTTGTGGATGTAAAAAACTTGAAACAACATGACATAAGATCTATAATAACCGGGAAGTTCAAAGACTGCAGCCACTTAAAACACTCCTGTCGACTAGAGAAGAATCCACAGTGGCACTGAATTTCTTCCTTCTATGGACATCAAAAAGTACTGAAAATATTATGAATAGTTAGGAGAAACTCGAGACAAGCAGGAGGCTGCACCAGTCCCACTAGATGGCACTACCTCAGAAAAGTCACTGTGCTCTCCCATTTGGAACCAGGGCTGAAAACTCTCTTGATCTTTGCGAAACTGAAAGCTATCATCAACACAGTGACATCCTTACTGGAAAGTCATGACCCATAATGAGGAATTCAAAAGTAGGAGGAGGAGTTTTTTCCAAAACCATCTTTTCCCCTACCATGGCCTCTTCCCAACTCCTATTTCAAATCAATGGTCTAAGAGATGCAATGACTTATAGGCAAAAGATGTTGTACAAAATGGAGATTTTTCTTTTCTTCTTCCCAAATCTGCAAACTACAAAACAATTTACTTGGGTGTTTTATTTTGTTTTCTTTTAAGTTTCATTGCTATGGGGAGCAAAACACTCTACTTCTAATCTTTGAATAACATTTGATATAATCAATATGCCTACCATAACTGGAAACATCAAAATAGCATACAATTGCCTTAGCCAGTTTGGCTCAGTAGTAGGGTGCTAGCCTGCAACTGAAGGGTCCTCGGTTGGATTCCAGTCAAGGGCATGTACCTTGGTTGCAGGCACATCCCCCAATAGGGGGCGTGTAGGAGGCAGCTGATCGATATTTCTTTTATTTTTTTTAAAGGCTGTGTTGCCTTTTTTTTTTTTTAATACATTTTATTGATTTTTTCCAGAGAGGAAGAGAGAGGGATAGAGAGTTAGAAACATCGATGAGAGAGAATCATCGATCAGATGCCTCTTGCACACCCCCTACTGGGGATGTGCCTGCAACCAAGGTACATGCCCTTGACCGAAATCGAACCCAGGACCTTTTAGTCCGCAGGCTGACGCTCTATCCACTGAGCCAAACCGGTTTCGGCTGATTGATGTTTCTCTCTCATCAATGTTTCTAACTCTCTATCCCTCTTCCTTCCTCTCTATAAAAAATCAATAAAATAATTTTTTAAAAAATAGCATACAATTAATACTATAAAAACACTTGGATATAAATGAACTTCTTTTTCTATATATTAGATCTTCCTATTAAACGTAGCATCAGATTAAGTTTTTTGACAACTTAATTACATGATGTTAAACTGGCCCTGGGTAGCAAAATTCGGTATCCCTCATTCTCACTACTTATGCTTTACCCCATCAAAAAGATTCTTGACCGAAACCAGTTTGGCTAAGTGGTAGAGCGTCGGTCTGCCGACTGAAGGGTCCCGGCTTCGATTCCGCTCAAGGGCATGTACCTTGGTTGCGGGCACATCCCCAGTAGGGGGTGTCTACAGACTGAAGGGTCCCGGGTTCGATTCCGGTCAAGGGCATGTACCTTGGTTCGGGCACATCCCCAGTAGGGGGTGTGCAAGAGGCAGCTGGTCGATGTTTCTCTCTCATCAACATTTCTAGCTCTCTATCTCTCTCCCTTCTTCTCCGTAAAAAATCAATAAAATATATTAAAAAAAAAAAAAAAAAAGATTCTTGGATATAGCTGTTGTAAACCAAAAAACAGAAGGAAAGAAAAGTGTTCTAACAACAAAGCCCAATGAGTTTAAACTACGTACAATTGGAATAGAGACTTGCTTTTACTCAGGAGGTGACTACTGCATACTGGGCATTATACAGGAGATATTGCATACTGGGCCAACGGAACAGACAGATTTAGATATGAGCCTTCTACTGAACTCCACATTTAAAAGACACATCAAAGGTCATTTATTAGATAGTCAACTGAATCAGAGATCAATGTAATATTTAAATGTAGTGCCAGTTGAGTCTACTTTGCCTAAATGAGTGTTTACATTTATACATGTAACTTCAATGTATATCAACAGTTTTTGTGACACTTTGTAGGAGTATAAGCCTACAAAGTGCCACAAAAATCAGTTACTAAAGTGGCAAAAGAAAAACACCCCAAGAACTACAAAAGGTGCCGAAACCGGTTTGGCTCAGTGGTAGAGCGTCGGTCTGCGGACTGAAAGGTCCCAGGTTCGATTCCGGTCAAGGGCATGTACATTGGTTCTGGGCATATCCCTGGTAGGGGGTGTGCAAGAGGCAGCTGGTCGATGTTTCTCTCTCATCGACATTTCTAGCTCTCTATCTCTCTCCCTTCCTCTCTGTAAAAGATCAACAAAATATATTAAAAAAAAAAAAAAAAGAACTACAAAATGTGTGCTCCCATAGCACCAGGTCACAGTTCTAATAGATCTCTAATCCTAGTATTATCTCTCTTCACAATGGAGGCTTGAAGGCACTGTATTGAGTGTCATCCCTAACAACCTGTACAATGTCCAGTATGCAATAGGCACTAAATATCTTTTCAATGAACAGAAGCTATCAAGATATTCCAGCTCACCAAAACTATGAGATCCATCAAAGCAGCAGGTTTTCTTCAACTAAACCTAGACAAATAACTTTTTTTTTTATACTGACTTTGAGAGAGAGGAAGGGAGAGAAAAAGAGAGAGAAAGAAAGAGGAACATCGATTGGCTGCCTCTTACAGGCCTCCTATTGGGGATCAAGCTCCCAACCCAGGCATGTGCCCTGATAGAAATTGAACCTGCACCCTTTAGGTGCACAGGGCAATGCCCAACCTACTGAGCCACATGGGCCAGGGTGACAAAAAATTATTTAAGAAGCCACTAACCAAAGTATGAGATGAAGATCTAGGTCACCATCCTATCCTATATAATAAAATCCTAATTTGCAAATTGACCCAACAGCAGAACAACTGGCTGCTATGATGCGCACTGACCACCAGGGGGCAGATGTTAGATGCAAAAGCTGCCCCCAGGTGGTCAGTGTGCTCCCCACAGCTGGAGCAGCGCTAAGCCAGAAGCCAGGCTCTTCCCTGGCTAACACAACAGCGGGGGAGGGAGCCTTCCCTGCCTCCATGGCAGCACTAAGGATAGGCGAGCCAAAAGTTAAGAAGCAAGCAGGAGGACGGCCACAAGTGAGGGGTCCCAGATTGCAAGAGGGATGTGTGACTGCCAATCAGGCCTAAACTGGCAGTCGGACACCCCCAGAGGAGTCCCGGATTGCGAGAGGGCGCAGGCCAGGCTGAGGGACCTACTCCCTACCCCACACAAATTTTGTGCATCGGGCCTCTAGTGAGAAATAAGATTTATTGAAAAGCACATAAAGAAATATACACATGAAGTCAAGGATCAAAAATTCACAAGTCCCAAGCCCAAGTAATGCAATAATTTTGGAATGGTGAAGCTTTGGAATGGTGATATACTTATCATAAGTATATTTTACATATTGTAGTAAAATCATCCTACAAGAGCAGAGAGGTGAAATAGCAGGTACATAGGTCGCACAAAAAGCCATAACACTGTTTAACTTAACATCTGCCCATTAATGGGGACTTGATTTTATTTTATTCTCCCAGAATAAAAATAGTGAACAGGAAGGAAAAATAGAAGAGAGAAATCAGCCTAGGGATGCAAACAGAAGGAATCTGCTGAAATGCAGATTTGGAGAACTGACAGACTTAGCAGAGACAGATTTTTCAAAACTCTACCATACCATATAACTACCAAAAACTCCAATGTAATAAAGCTATGCCTCTACCTTTTAATTAACAGTTTTTTTCGAGGTGGTTGAGGAGTTTTGAAAAAATATGGCATAGAATATATATCCGGTTAGTGCCCTTGTGACAAGACCATGAGAAACCTCTCCCATATTGTAGGGTTAAAAAACCAGCATACACTCACATAGAGAATACGTTCAAATACACTGCTGAATGGCTGGAATGACTGGTAGGATTTAAAAGTTCATTGGTCCCTGAACCAAATCTTCTCCTCTACAATGTAACAGTATGGTCCATCAAAACTGCCCTTAACCGGGTTTTGAATGTGTTTAAATTAGACTTCGCACCGTGTTCATGATCATCATTTTACTCACCTTACTAACACCAACTCCAGTAAACCTGGCCTCTAATAATTCCTGCCGTCGGGGGTCCAGGCTATGCAATTCTTCCATCATTTCTACTGAAAAAGAAAAAAGTAGGTTGTGAGACCATAAAAACTTAAACGTTAGTTCACTGAATGGTCACACACAGATAAACCTCAAGTAAATATATCATATGTTATAAGATACAATGTGCTGTATCAAATAGTAACACAGGGTTATGACTCAGAAATTCTCTTCTGAGGGCCACTTCTCTTATTCTGATTTTATTTAACAGCAAATAACCCTCAAACTCTTCATATCATCTCTTTAAAAGTTAAGCTAGGGCTACCTCGCAAAAAAAAAAAAAAAAAAGTCCTTTTTTTTCAACCTCCAAATTTAGCTAAGCATTTTTAAATATTGCTTTCCGAAACACAGAGGAACTAGTTCTTAAACTAAAAATATGAATCATTAATAATTTCATAATAATATAGCATGAATCAGAGGCTACAAATAAATTCAAATAACGCTATTATACAGCTCCTTTCTCGGAAGAGCTCACAGTAGCTCATAAAAAAAAAAAAAAAAAAGGAACTATTTTAAAATTAATAGAGAACCCATGGTAAAACCATCAACCTGCATTCACGGAGGAAATTAGTATAGCTCCATAACCATCCCTTTTCAAATCTTTTTCTGACCATTCCCTGGAGCAGTAGGTTTCTCTAGACATCTGCTTTTAGCACTCCTTCCAAAGCAGGGAGGGGCAGGAGGACACCATTTTTAAACTCCTTCCACGACCAATTAACGCACAGGCTACTTTCATCAAATATGTCCATCCTTTGCAAGAGAGCAGTTCTTGCAGAACCCACTGGAAACCTCTCTGGAAAAGGAGCATAAACCATTCCACAGAACCCCCTTTGAACGTATTATTAAATACCTATTGGAACGACTGTCATGATTTAAAAGTTCACTGAAAACATGAATTAAACATTCTCTCTTGCAATCTAGCAACTCCACAATCCCCAGTCACCCTCCAAGTCTTCCAGTTTCATTTCCCTTCCTGGATTGAGAGCCTGGGGCCAAGGGGAATGAGGGGGTGACACGTTATAAAGTTTCACCCACATATACGTGCAAGTGCAGGTCACCGAGGGAATGGGAAATTCTCGGAGGGGCAGACAGGCATCTTTTAAACAGGAAAAGCACGTAGGAACACGAAGAATGAGAGTTTCCCCTGAGTGGCCTTCCTCGCGTGTCGCCCTGCCCTGATCGAGGCCGGAATGGCAGAGGTTGCAGCCTCCGTCAAGCCACAGGGTCTCTCCCAACATTTCCTAAGCCTCCGCTCCCAGGCCTGGCCAGGAAAATGACACCCCAGCAGTTATTCCATTTAATGTCAACTCATGTGGAGGAAACAGCCACTCCGTCTCATGCCGGCGGGGCCTGGGACTGGGATCCTCCCTGCAGCTCAGAGCCGGGAAGCAGGACTGATGGGGCCTGGTCCCGGCGCCCCTCGCCTCCAGCCGGCTCCAAACTTTCCCCAACTCCAGGCCCACCTGTCACGGAGGGAGGGCGGGCCGGCTCTCGGGGGCGCCCGGGAGACTGCCGGGGCCTCCAGCTGCCGGGGCGCCCCCCTCTGCCGGCCGGGCGCCGGACCCTCCGCCAGGCCAGGGCCTCCCGGGCCTCCCCCATCTTCCGCCCGGCCCCTCGGCGACCCGCAGCCCTCGGGGAGCCCCTCCCGCTTCAGCGCCGAGGAGCTGGGGCCCGGCTCCGGCCCCGGGGTGGGCCCGGGCCGCAGCCCCCTCAGCCGAGGGGGTTCCCCGGACGGTTAGTGCCCCAGGCCCGGCGCCCTCCCCTGCCTGGGGCTCAGCCTCTCACCTGCCGCCGCCGCCGCCGCTCCACGCTCCTCCAGGGAGGGGCCCCGACCCGACCCGGCTGCAGATCGCTCTGCTCTCCCCCTGGGCAGGCCCGGGGCGGAGCCGGGGCCTCTCCTGAGCGCCGCAACCCCCGCCCGGGCAGCCGCCGCCGGCGCCGGGCTCCACGAGAGGGCGGGCGGGGGAGGGGGGCCGCGGAGGCCGCAGATCCCCGGGCTCGCGTACAGAGCCAGGCGCCCGACGCGGGCCCGGGCCCGGGCGGCAGCGGGGGTTGCGGGACCGGCCTCCCGGCGCCGGACAAAGGCCAAGGAAGGCGCAGGAGGGCCCGGGCCGGGCCGGGAGGTGGGGACCCGCGCGGCGGGGGGCCACTCGGGTGCGGCGCGGGGGGCGGGGGGTGTCGGAACCGCTGGTACCCGGGACCCGCCTCCGGCCCCTTAATCCGGATCGGTTCGGTCCGGATTAGTAGTGATCGGTGTAAACACACTAGTGAAACCGCGTGTTTCCTCGCGAGATTTGCACGGCGGGGAAGCAGGGGGGGTCCTGGGGGGGTGGGTAAGGGGAAGAGCCGGCAGTGGGGGAGGAGACGAGGAAGGTGCGGGGGGGGGGGGTCCCCGTGCCCCGGCGCCCCGCCTCCTCCAATCAGCGGCCGGGCTGGCGGGCAGGGGTTAACCAGGGGACCCCGCGCGGGCGGAGCAGGCCGCGCCTCGCCGGGCGGCTGAGGGCGGGCTGCCGCACGAGGGGCGGTCGGGCCGCGGGCGGCCGGAGTCCCGGACCTCGGCCGCTTCGGTGGAACCGGCCCCGCCCCAGCCCGGGCCAGGGCGGCAGGGCCAGGGCCCTGGACCACGGACTGGCGCTGGAGGGGCCGGCGCTTCCCGGATCCGCCGCGCCGAGCCCGCACCCACCTACTCCCAGGTCTCCACGAGTTGGGATGAGAAGTGGTGCGGCTCTGCCCGGGATGGGTTTTAGAGGAAGAGAGCCGGTGGACCCCGCCCGAACTTCTCCGGAGATGCCCCTTTAGTGAGTTCGCTGTGCCCTCCGTGTTCGCTGGCTCCCACTCCCCAAAGCGATCGCCCAGGTGCAGAAATTCATTTGCCGTCCTGGAACGTGGGCAGCGGCACTTCCCCTCTGCATGCCGGGTTGGCAGGGTGCCTCCAGGGGCTAACGATGCCCTGGAATCAAGGCTGAGCCCCCACCCACACCAGGATGTTGTCCTCCAGAGGGGAGGGGGCAATGCCCCAAAGACACACTCCACGGGCACCCCTGGGGAGGTTCCATTTCAACTTCTGATTAAAAACACCGCCCTCCTGGATAGTTAGGAGGGTCTGAGGGTAAGTGTTAGGATGGAAAAAACAGGCCTGCCCTTCACAGAATGTCTGCTGAGGAATGAGAACTATGAAAGGGTGAGCTCTTGTGCACAGCAGACCCTGCAGCAAGGAGGGCTCCTGTGCAGGAAAAGGCTCCCACTCTGATTACCCAGCATCAAAGAAATAAAGCATATTGTCCACCGAGTCCTATGAGCCAGGACACTGACTTCAATACAAACAACCCCACTTTGGTTTCCTCTGATGCTTCCTTAGTCAGATATCTGGAGATGACTTAAGGACTACGAGCGAATCACAAGACATTAGACATTGAACAACAGTCTTGAACTTTCCCAGAGGGTAGGCAAATTCTTCAAGTGGAGTTTCTGCCATTTTTTCTTCCTGTTACTTTGTAATTCTTCCATATTTTAACAGAACACTGACCTGCTGAAAGGGCAAAGGATGACAGTTTCCTTTCCGTGGTGCAACCTTCTAAGCCCTTGGGCAAACTCTAGCACTGTGGAAAACTCCTAAACCCCGTCGCCTGGTTCCAGCTCCAAGCCAGGCTGGGACGTGCACATGTATATTTCCAAAGATAAGTGTTGGATGGGGATGGAGAAAGTTGGGGACAAATGGCAGGAAAATAGGGCAAAATGAGGGACTACCAAGAGAACAGGAGAACCAAGAAGCTGATAATGGACATATGACTTGTCTTACACTCCACAAAAGAAAAGCAAATGAGCCAACCTTTTTCACTATAGTGAGTGATCAAAAAAGCTAAGTCCTGCCCTTGCCAGTCTGGTTCAGTAGATAGAGCATTGGCCTGTGGACTGAAGGGTCCCGGGTTCAATTCCGGTCAAGAGCATGTATCTAGGTTGCATCCATCCCTGTGCTGTTCTGGGCGGGTGCAGGAGGCAAGCAATAGGGGTGTGTGTGTGTGTGTGTGTGTGTGTGTGTGTGTGTTTCCCCTTCCCTTCCACTCTCTCTAAAGTCAATGGAAAAAATATCCTCGGGTGAGGATTAATAAACAAGAAAAGAAATTTACTGTAAGTCCTTAAAATGACACTGGAATGTCTTAAATGAGGAGAGAAAAATTTAAGGGAAGAGCACAATCAGCTGAGTTTCAGCCCAGTTCTTCCATGGACAAGCTGAATGGGCCTGTGACCTAACTTTTTCAAGTTTTGCCAACCTCACCTGTGAAGGAGGGGTTTACACTAGAGGATTTCCAAAGGCTGTTCCAAGTCTGAAAGGCCATTATTCCATTTTTAAACTTATTTAAAATAACTGAAACCAAGGGAAAGATAAGATTTTTAGCTTATCTTTTCCTGGTGCATTTTTCTCTGCTTGTTAAAGAAGTTAACACTGTCATAGACCTATTCACAGCCCCACTCTAAATTTAACACGCATCCCAATAGGAATTAGTGTAGGAATTTAATGAATTTGCTTACCACAAAGATTGGTACTCCTATTTATAGGCACCATGTAAGTGAAAGTGTCAAATATCAACAGTAAGGAAAAATACAGATTATAGGGTTCACCCTTTCCCAGAGAAAGATGGATAATTTCAAAATAAAGTCTGTTGTCAAATGGTTCCTCTTACAATGTGATTTAGCCTTGGGGTCATGAACCCATTTGTTTAAAGTGTGTTTACTCACATGGCAACTTCAAGGACTCAACTTGTCATGAACTGGCAAATGGTGACATGCCACATGCAAAGGCCCAATCCTCATCAACTGCAGAAGGCTCAAACCTGGATCCAATTAGATGTGCACACTGGCCATCCAGTCTTTTTTGCCTTTACAGGTGGACATGACAAGTCCTCTGGATTCATGTTCAAATTCCCAGAGAGAACCCTGGAGCTGGTAGACATGCCTCAGACTAGTTAAGGTGATCCCTAAGGTGTGCTCTGTAGGCCTTGACCGGTTAA